AATCACAATTGACGGAGAAGATTTGGAAGATGTAAAGATCTTTACATATTTGGGCAGCATCATTGATGAACAGGGTGGATCTGATGGTCATGTGTAGGCGTGGATCGGCAAAGCAAGAGCAGCAAATTTACAACTGAAGGACATCTGGAACTCAAAACAACTGTCAACCAACACCAAAGTCAGGATTTTCAATACAAATGTCAAGACAGTTCTACTGTATGGGGCAGAAACCTGGAGAACTACGAAAGTCATCATCCAGAAAATACAGGTGTTTATTAACAGTTGTCTACGCAAAATACTTCAGATCCTTTGGCCGGACACTATTAGCAACAACCTACTATGGGAGAGAACAAACCAGATCCCAGTGGAGGAAGAAATCAGGAAGAAGCGCTGGAAGTGGATAGGACACACATTGAGGAAAGCACCCAACTGCGTCGCAAGACAAGCCCTCACATGGAATCCTCAAGGTCAAAGGAGGAGAGGAAGACCAAAGAACACATTACACTGGGAACTGGAAACAGACATGAGAAAAATGAACAAGAATTGGATGGAACTAGAAAAGAAGGTGGAGGACAGAGTGGGTTGGAAAATGCTGGTCAGCGGCCTATGCTCCATTAGGAGTAACAGGCGTAAGTAAGTAAGTAAGTTTATTCCTATAGTTCATGTGTCAAAGAACATTACATAAACTCTACAACTGTTTTCACATTAACGTGAGCATTAAACTACATATGTTTTTAGCAGATTCACAAACGATATTTTTTAAATCAAGATTATTGATGATACACCACAGATCTTAATCAACAATATGCTGTTTAGATAAAGAATGTAATAAATAATCTTTTCAAACATTTTTGATTAGTTTATTCCATTTATTCATTTAAAGTACTTTTACAAGACTGACAGGACCCTGATCCTGCACTCGCCATGGCTGGTGAGCAAATAGAAGTAGTCGAGAAGTTCACGCATCTCGGTGTGTGTAAGTACTGGAGGTGGCGTGAATAATGAGATCAATTCACGTATGGGGAAAATCAAAGCGGCTTGTGACAATCTGGGTCATCTTTGGCGCCTTCGTGTTGTTAGTCTGGTTGTAAAAGTTAGGATCTACAAAGCTTAGGTGACAGAATTTTGTCTCTACGCTTGTGAAACCTGACCTCTCAGAGTTGAGGATGTTGGATGATTTCTGTACTTGATTATCGTTGTCTCCAAAGGATTGCTGACATCCAGTAGCATCACCATGTTAGTAGTGTAGAGGTTCGACATCGTGTTCAGGCACAGTGACGACAATTCAGTTGGTGCCACAATCTTAAAACATCAATTTCGACGGCTTGAACATGTTCTACGAATGTCACCCTAGAGAATTCCATATCGTATATTATTTACCGACGTAAAGACCGGTTGAGAAAAGCGGAGAGGCGGACAGTGTATGACATGATGTTGTGGATTGAATGAAAGCTGTATAGAGCCGGCTTTTGTCGATCATTTACGACTCCCTGGTTGGGGTCCTGGAGGTGATACAACACACTGGCAGGAGACTTGGCCAGACATGGCTCAGAATAGAAGCCAGCGGCGGTGGTGGTATAAATTTTTCACTTTCTTCCTAAAAGTGAACGTACCTTCGTTAATTGAAAGAATTTTTTCTTGTATTTTTCTTAACTGAATTGCCTCTCTCAATATTCTATCGTTTCCCTTAGTTAGTTGTATGTGAGCCATATAAGTTTGGAGAATTCATGCGGTACTCTGAATTTCTTAGTTCGATTTTCAGTAAAACTATTTAGTTGTATCTCAGTTATGTGATTGTATTCTCATTCTGTATACTGACCTTCACTCCTGGTTTAGCATTTGGGTCAGTACAGGTTGCTAATCGTGTCCCATTCATAGAAATATATTTGTGATCATACAGGGACTTTTTTATGGTAGTCAGTTGTCTGGTACACTTATCAAACATAATATCGTATATGGACACCATTTCATGAAATTAGGGACTATAGATAGGTCTCATGGTAAACAATAATCTTGGCAAGGATCCTAAACAATTTTGAACGAAAAAAATTCCCAGAAATGATCTTTAAGAAATTAGGTTCTTAGGTATATAGTTTAGAAGATTATGTAGCCTTCAGATTGATTAGTCATAATGATCTTCAGTTTAATACTACGACTGTTAATCCAAGCCAGACAATAATTCTTATCAAAGACGTTTATTCACTACTTTTTAAAATGTAAGTAGTTTAATTCGTTTTGCAGTCTTGCTTGAAATGACCTTAATGAATACGTGGAAAGATTACGGATAAAAATGAAACGCCTAAATTATCTGTTTTTGACCTAATAATAAAACAACTAAATCTATGTTTGCATTGTTACAGTCAACTCACGTGACATAATACATTTCTGTAAATGCAAGAAAATATAACTAAATATTCATTCATCACAAGATATGAAAAGGAAGAACCAATAGTTTATTCAATTTATATCTACTAAGAACAAAAACTCATCTATTTATCAGTCTTGTAAAGACACAAAACCTGATTCAAGTCGATAACAAATTACTAATGGATTATTGATTTCAGTGTGAACAGAAGATTTGTATCACAAGATTTCATATTAAAGATTAGTAGAAATAGATCAACTTGTTTATTGAATAGCATTCATTGAATACTCAAGAAATATATGTTTTGAGTCACATATGTTGGACTCTTATAAATATGACCTTTTTAGAAGGTATTCATCAAAACCAAGAAGTTATTGGCTTATTTACTTAATTCATATAGAGGAAGCTAGGCTCATTTTATCGAGTTCATTTCCAGATCTTTTAGAAAAATGATAGATGTATAAATGGTGGGTAATGTTTGTATCTGATGTGATACCTTCTAACAACTTTACAAATTAGTCGAAGATTTGTTTTTTCTTTAAACATATTCCGCAAGAACTTCAAACATGAACACACATATTTAAGATGAAAGGAAAAAGAGCAGTAACAAAGAAATTTAAACAAATTGATGAATTGTTTGCTTTATACCTCTGTACCCATAAAGTATTTATTGTTTGACTTTTTTGTGATAATAAACACATTGTCTAGTTGAGGAAATCAAACTATCAAAGGATACAGAAATGGTATACCCATTGAAGTCATGTTTATTTGCTTCAGTTTACACTTATTTATTTGAAAACATAAATACTGGTACAAAGCGGCATCGAATAAAGATGTGCCACACAAATCACTTGATTAGTATGTGGGCTGCGATGCCGCCCGGGTGCCCAAACCAAAACAGGTGGTTTTCTTAGAGGGCTATACCGCAAACCTTCGACCTAAAGGTCAGATCCATAAGGCAGTGGAGCAACTTCAAGAAATGCAGTTCCATAGTAACCAGTGACCAACAAGAGGTTCATACACCTTTTGTCACCTTAGGATACTGGAGCCCATGTACACCATTGATTTGGAATCAGGGTTTTCCAACTCCCCTAGGTGGGTCCTCTATATCCAGCTTATACGATCATATATTTTACCTTTAAAGATAAAAATATGTAAGTAATTACTCATATGTAGTTGTTTTATTTAAGTCCAATTAAATATAAAATGCTACTTAAAATATTAGTCTAAAAAAATTTAAAAAAGCAACAACTGAATGACTATGATTAAACCATACAGTCTTAGTAAACTATACACTAAAGAAAAATAGATTAAGTGGACTTTTACTAATAACCCATAAATTGTCAATAAAAAATATCATCAATAAGGAAGGGATCATGAATTGAATTGTTAATGGTGATTAAGTTAATTCTTTATTCTTTAATATATATTGAACTTCTATCGATAGGTATAAACTCTACAATAAATATAGTCTATAACAGTGCTATACTGTATATAATTTATTAACTCCAGTCAGTCAGTCGTCCCAGAGAATTCCTCGTCGAGCATTATTTGCTCGGACCGGTTGAAAAAAGCAGAGAGGTGGTCAGTGTATGACATGGTGTCGTGGTATGAAAGGAAGCTGCAAAGGGCTGGCTTCTGTTGGTCCTTCTCGACTCCCTGGTTGGGGGACCGAGAGATGGTGTAACACAGTGGTTAGATACGCTATCAGATATGCCACAGAATAGAAGCCAGTGGATATCCTACTGTGATCTTTTACTTTCTTCATAACAAGTGATTTTAACTCCCTTAACCGAAATTCTTTCTGGTTGTACTTTTCCGTTTCCCCCACTATTATTATCACACTACAATACACTAATATGTGGTCGTTATTGTTCTCTTTTTTCCTTTCTTCTCTCTTATACGCACCTTGTTAATTATGCGCTTATCAATCTTGACTGTTGTTATATGAGCGCATATATATGTGTACACTTCTTATCCTAATCACCACATCTGCAACTTATTTTTGTGCGACTATAAATACTGATTAACGCTTGACTGAATGGAGTTGGCTTACCCTCCATCTCCACAGCGCGTTGTTTCGCTTCATATACAAAATATATGTATTCAAAAGTCCATTCTCGTTATTTGACTTATTTAATTGTTATTGACTAACGCGATTTAAGTCGATGATTATATACGAGGATAGGCGACATATATATTTCGACAACGATCATTCATACGATCAAATTAGAGTCAGATCTTGGGCCACTAAAGTGGAGAGCCCGTCAACAAACATCGTCCGATCTAAATGACGACAAAATAAAGGGCCCCACTAAAAGTCATGTCACTCAAGATCCCTAATCATCGGTTGCTGTCGTCTCGCGGATCCCAACCACGTAGTCTACACCTACCAACATGGCTCAGTTCACTTGGCAATGACTTCATGAATTTGTGCCATGTTTTGGTTCGGCCACCCCTAACTTTCTTTCAATCTACTCTTACACCATAAAACATCGCATTATATTTTATCATACAACTAATAAGATAAATACCAAACAAAACTAGTATCATAGTTATTATTTAAAGATCAAGATCTTGCACATATAATTCAATTCTATAATTGATCAGTTTTATAATTTTTTCAAATATATAATTGAAATGGAATATACTTTCATTATACAAGTAAGGAACTTTGTTTACAACAATACATATAATACTATATGATGAATTATAACGAATACAATATCTATGTCATATCGATTAAGAAGAAAAGAACAAAAATCAAGTAGATATATTACTATACGAAATATACAACACAATATTAAATACATAAAAATTAAACAAGAAAGATGTAAACACAATATTTACAAATAGATATATTTTAATAGTTGAGATCATGAGTCAACTGAAGCTACACGAACATGAAAAACCTGGAAGCACTGGTGGTCTAGCTTCAATTGACTCAACTATTGAAATTTCTTAAATCTCCACAAAACCCTTTCTGATATATATATATATAAAGTGATAATCAACCTTTACCCGTTGTATTCCTATTTATTTTTCTTCCTGACATTGGAGAAGTTAAAAACTCAAAGACATATTATTTCAAAGTAAAATATGATTTGTAATTTGTATTTCTATATGTTTACATGTGCGTATAGAGATAATGGTTACAAAATTAAAAAAAAGCAATTGCCACGTAAAACTGAATTGTTATATAGATAGAGAGGAAGTTACAACTAGCATAACAACAACTAATTAATCACTATCTTGGTTATCATCATCATCATCATCACCATTGTTATCGTCAAAACACTTATTATACATAGATTTATTGTCATATAGTTTTGTAGTAATACTTGATAAATTACTACATGTAGACTTTTTCTTCTTATTCATATCTGGTGGAACTGTTAAATCACCAGAATATTTAATCACTTTACCAATAGCCAAACGCCATTCAAGCATAGCAGTAGAGAATTCATCATGACCACCAAGTTCATCAAATCCAATAATACGATCGCATACTTTTTCATTTTTAACAAGAATTAAAGTTGGTATCACTTGAATATTTAATCGTTTTGTTAAAAATGGTGCTTTCTCTGCATTTATCTTTACCATTCTACATTCAATATGTTTTGAAGCTAATAAACTTAAATGTTTATCTAAAATTTTACATCGAAATGTTGAATCACGATAAAAATGACAAACAAGACCAAATGATGATGTTTTACAAGTAGTAAAAAAATCTTTTTCACTTGATAATTCAGAATAAACACCATGTCCTAAAGCTAACCATTCAGAATGTTGTTTTGATTCTTCTTTCATTTGCTTAATTCGAAGTTTACGAATAGCTTCTAAATCATCATCATTTAAATTATCCAAACGATTAATTTGTTCATCTAATGTATCTTCTAATATTTGAGCTGTTTTTATTAAATGAGATTCAATTAACTTTTCATGATTAGTTGTTGGTATTTGTTTCTGTTTGGATGTTTCACTCATACTATCAAACTAAAATTGGAATTGGAAATTATATGAAAATTAAACTTTTAAAGTCACAATAGTATTAGTGAAGCGGATTAAATAGATAGTGAAGTATGAAATTAAAACATTAAATCTAACTCGTAAAACTGATAATAGCAAGTTAGTTTTAAAATAGTACGCTGAAGATACGGGATATTACTTAAGAATTAGAAGACTATTCACCCATAAAATATAATCTAAATGATTATGTTGGATAGGATGCTAGAACTAAAAAAATGAGAATATGATATCGTTTCCACTGAAGATATTTAGAAAGTAAATAACACTGGAACAGATGCATTCATTGTTTGTCTTCTTTTAATAGGCGAGTTCCAAAATCTTATACCTTTTTACTTTTTATATACCCAATCTTTTGCACTACTATTGATACTATTACCACTACTACTACTACTCTGGGATTTGAAATAATTTTATCTCGCTTGTGGTATGGAAACTTGAATCAATGTACCCAAGTCAGATTCTATGTTTTGTACGACTGACTGACCCAGTATTTTGGATGAGTAATTAAAGGTTATTATCATTATTATCCAAGCACACAAACATAGGTACAAAGAGGCACCAAACAGATACATGCCACATAAATCACTCGATTTTTTATCGACTGAATAATGTAAAGTTAATTTGGGTTAATTTTATTACCATTAAATGTGTAGAATTAAAATACCATAATTGTTTACCAACATGTTGGATAACTAAATTAATCTCAGTGACCTAATTGAAGCCTAAATTTATTGAATAAATGATGAATTTTTTTAATTTCTTTCAGCTAATTCATATGTGATTACTCTGATATTTTTTGTAATTGGAAAATCCTTTCAAACTTCTAGATCATTTGATGATATTTAAAAGCATGGTTTAGTCTAATAGTCAAAATGTTTTAATTCAATCCGTCTACGATGATTACGTAATGTTCGTGAAATTAATCGTTCGACTCGTGACCTGAAGGTTGTTGGTACAGAGAATGAAGAATTAACCTTTGGTCTTTTGTATGATCATGAGTGTGCATTATAAACTGGTCCCATAACACAGATACATGAGAACTATGATACCCTATGATATCTAATAGTTGATATCAGCTCTTGATTAAAACTAATATACACTTGAACAGTCTTCACAAACTAAGTACTATTAGTTGTTGATTTATTTATTTAGACACATAAACACTGTTACTAGGAGGCACCAAATAAATCAAATGACTTATGTGAGGGCTGTGATATTGTCCCGGTGCCCAAACTGGAGAAAGTGGTTTTCTTAGGGGTCACACCCCGAGCCTTTGACCTGAAGGTCTAATCCACGAGGCAGTGGTGTGACGTTAGATGTAGTTCTATGGTGACCGACAATTGGTTCATACGCCATTTGTTCTCTCAGAACCCTGGGGCCCATATGCACCATTGGTTTGGAATCAGGGTTTTCTAACTCCCTTAGGAGGGCTCTCTGTGTCCACCAACGCGGTTAAAGTGCCAGGCATTCGCTTTTTGTCTTCTCAATTTCGTAAACAATAGTAATACCACGAGAAGGCAGTGAGTAAGACTTCCCTGGCAGTAGTTCTATGAGCGTGACCACGTGAGAGCATTTCGAGAGGGAAAGCTGACTCTCTCCACTCTCGGCTGCACCAGGGCATTTAGGGGCAGTAATTAAAGAAGTGCATGAATGCCGAGAAAATGAGCTTTTTTATTTATTCATACATTAATTGAAATTCGTTGCATTTAAAGGACATGAATGTCACTAAATACTAGTAGCTGCACAATGAATTTAAGAAAATACATATAAAAATTTAATTCGGCTCTTGTGTTATCAAAAAGTTAATGAACATATGTTACACTTGAATTTGAGCGAAATAGGGATGAGTCGATAAATGGAGAAAGAAATACATAACTGTGCGGAATATATATAAATGGTACACAAGTCAACAGGAAAATGAAGACTACGTTCAATTTAATTTGGACTAGTGTAGTATGAGAACAGTGGTAACACTGTAGAATCGGCCAATTGAGGGTACGGAATGATGTAGATGGTCTGGAAAGAAATCTACACTCGTGCAAATTACATCAATACGATTCTTAAAGTTTCTATGCTACCGGTGTAGTGAAGGAGAACACACAAAATTACAGAGTTACTTGGTAAAATAGAAAAACCATATAGTAAATCGTTAATTTGCAAAATATTAATCCACCATATCAAACCAAATTGTTCCTGTTGCAAACATCAATCCATTGTCTCACATTTCGTTGTTCATGCGTTTTCTTACTAATTGCATCGTGTTTCCGCTATTCCTTTCTTGATCCCCCTCCCATCTTCCGCTGCCAGACATTACGTTTTAACTCGCGTTATATACTACTTATGTCAGTATAAGTAGCATGCACCACACTCGTCCCCCCTTTTAATAAGTTGTCGTCGTAGTCTTTCTGATCGCCGTACCGCTGTCTTCTTTGGTGCTTTTCGTGACTCCCACACATGATGATCTTGGAACCATCTCTGCAGTTGACTAGCATTTACGCGCTTCTGCTTGTTTTCTCTCCGGATCGTGTAAACCGAGCCGCGTCTCCCCGTGATAACGTACGGTCCTTCCCACTTTGGTATCAGCTTTCCCGACCCTGCTCCTCCTGCTAAGCTACTCTTTCGTTCTCTACACTTTACTAGGTCCCCCCCCTGCAAAAGGTTTTCATGTTCTCCTCTGTTGTTCCGCCTTCTTTATGTCTGATATTTGTTTCTTTTCCACGTTCTTTATTGCCTCCCTTCTCTCTTTTCTTAACCTTGTTGTCGTCCACTTCTGTTGTTGTGGCCAGGTCTTATTATGCATTGGAAGTCGTGGCTGTCTGCCATACATGAGCAAGAAAGGTGACTTCTTGTTTGTTCTTTGTATAGAGGAGCGATGCGCCAGCAAAATCAATGGTAACTCTTTCTCCCAATTTCCTCCTTTAGATGCTAACCATTCCTTTAACATCCGGTTGTTTCTCTCTGTAAGCCCGTTTGTATCCTCTTGATGCCAAACTGCTTTAGACAGGCTTTAAACTCGTCACTTTCAAAACAGGGACCCTGGTATTCCGTGACACGCTACAATATGCCGGATCACCACTTCGGTCGCTGTTCTTGCCCGCTGGTCTGCAATGGGTACGGCATCTACCCAACGTGTAGCATGTCCCGTCATCACTAGCAGGTACTGGTTACCGCTCGCCGTCTGTGGAAACGGTCCCATCACATCCACCGACTGCAGTTACAGGGATTGACTGTAATGGCGGTTGTGTGTATCGGTCGCTTTTCATTAGTTGACATTGCTGGCAAGTTAACACGTATTCAGCCACATCGTCTCTCATGCCTGGCCAGTATGCACTTTGTCGTAGTAAATCCGTCGTTCCTGCGATGCCTGTATGTGATACCTGGTGACACTCGTGTATCATTTTACGCCGCCAGCCTTTCGGGATCACAGCCACCCAATTCTCGTCATCGTCCTGCCAGGTCAGGACTCCATATGCGTTCACTACCAGTCGTTCTTTTTGTCGAAGCAGTGTTATTACCTCCTTGTCCATTGTTCGTTTGTCTACGTCTGCTCCCTCTTTTATCACTCTGATCACCCCTCGAAGGTTAGGGTCAGCTTTCTGCTGCCGGATGAGTTCTAATGGGTCTCCCTCTAAACTATTCACCGCGTATGCTGTTAGTGGAAGGTCGGCTTCCATGTCTGGTCTTGACAAGTAATCTGCCATTACGTTTTCCCTTCCTGGAACATGGCCGATACCGAATTCGTACTCTTGCAGACGTATCATCCATCGCGCCAACTTCCCTCGGGAGTCTCTTGCTGTTTTCAACCACTGCAGGGGTTTATGGTCAGTCTCAATGTGAAATCGCCTACCTAAAAGGTACGGTCTCCATTTTTCTACTGCCCACACGATTGCTAAACACTCCTTTTCGATCGTTGAATACTTCTGTTCAGCGGGTGTGAGGACGCGACTCGCGTATTCCACCACTCTATCAGCCTGACTCAATACAGCACCTATACCATGATCACTTGCGTATGTGGCCACTGTAAACAGTTTTCCGGGTTCAGGCAGTCTGAGCGTCATCTGACGATCGTCTAGCATGTTTTTGATTCGGTTGAACGTTTGTTCGGCAGTCTCAGTCCACGTAAACTTGGTGTTGCTCAACAACTTATATAGGGGTGCTGCTATTTCGTTGAAATTCTTGACAAACCGACTGTAGAACGCCGCTCTTCCCATGAACTGTCTCAACTTTCTTTCCGAATTAGGTGCTGCAATATTTTTTTATGGTAAGGATTTTATCCGGCAATGGTTTTATTTCTCCATTTCCCACTTTATGTCCCAACAACGTGACGCTGTTTCTCGCTATCTGCAACTTGTCCTTATTAATTCGAAGTTCAAATTCGTCAATTCGCTTTAAGACCGCTTCCATATGCTTGACGTGGTCTGTTTCTGTCTGACTGTACACAACTACATCGTCGCCATACACCTCGGCATTATCTAGGTTCTTGAGCAGTAGTGTCATTAATCTTCTGAACGTAAACGGTGCACCCGCCAACCCGAACGGCATTCGTTTACATTGATACTGTTTATCACATACAGTAAACGCTGTCTTGCTTCGATCGCTGTTTTATAGGCAGTTGCCAATAACCTGACCGTAAATCCAGCACTGTAAACACCGTGGCATTCTGTAGCCGATCTAATGTTTCCACCACTGCTGGTATTGCACAAGGTTTTAGGTCTGTTATATTAATCAATTCTCTGAAGTCGACACAAAATCTATACTTTCCATTTGGTTTCTTTATCAAGAGTACCAGTGAGCCATATGGGCTGTCTGCTTCCTCAATTATACCTTCTTTCAACATTTCCTGGACCTGACGATTTACTTCAGCCTCTAAGTGCACCGGGACACGACGTGTTGCAAATATATTTACTCGATCGTTCTTTATCAGGATTTCGTGCTTTACTTTGTCAAAAAATCCATACGGCTCCTTATCTCCAGTAAACAGTTTCTCATACTTTGTGCATAACTCGTGAATGTTTGGTTTCTTCGACGAGACGTCCGCTGACACTCTTATTTCAGCCACTTCGCTACTTTCGTGTATTGGCAATGAACCATACTTTGTGACCACCTTACCGCTTCTTAAGTCAACTATCGCTTTTACTTTTCTAAGGAAATCTGCTCCTAATATCTGTCTCGATAAGCTTGTGGTTACCACGAACGGAAAATTTATCTCAGCATCTCCCACTTTTACGATACTGTTAGATACCCCCAACACCTCTAACATATGGCCTCCTATAGTGTGGACAGCTCATGTACATGGCTTGAGTCTCTTACATTGCTCTTTGTCTATTAACGATACTGCTGCACCTGTATCGATCAGACAAACTAAATCTCGTTTGTTTATGTTCAATCTCGTATAAACTGCCCCTCTATCTACTAACGCAACAACCCCCCAGATTCCTAGGACAGAAAGAACACACGTTATAACGTCTAAAATATCTGCGTCTTTGTCTTGTTGGACAGTTTATCTTCCAATGTCCTGTCCCTCCACAAGCGTAACATTTATCGTTCCTTTTATGGTTTACTCGTATTGCTGCAATCTCACACTCCAGCTCCTCAATCTTCTTTTCGACATTATTTATCTCCTGCTTTTCGCACCCAACCGGAGCTACTGCTCGTGTCATCAGCTGACGAGTCACCTTCGCCAGTTCACTGATATCCGTCGGTTGCGCTGCGTTCACTAGTTTCAGCTGTTGGGAGACGATGGCAGGCCCACTCTCGATAAACTGCGACGCCAACAACTGTGCCTCTGACTCCTCATCCAGATTCGGCAGCGCACAGCGTAACAATATAAGTAACACGCACCATACAGGGTTTTTAGGATAGATAAGGTCGATTTGAAAAACTTAATATCTATTTCATTCAACATTAACAAACTCAACTAATCAAAGTTTTCACGCAGCATTAGTAAAACAGGGGAACCAAACAGAAAAGAGTAAATATAGTCAGGGCGAAATAAGAAGGACGAAGTTTGATCTTAATACAAACTAAAGAAAAACAGGAAACAAAATAAATGAATAAATTAACTGAGGTGGGGCAGAAATATAAGGTCAAGGATAAATGCCAGTTAATAAATATTCTTTAGCTCGTCCACTCTTTCCTCTTAATCTTCCTTCCACTCCTCTCCAAAAAACGTTGTGGAACGATGGTTTAATGGTTAGGGTGATAGACCTTCAGCCACTAAGTCCCAGATTTGAATCTCACTGCACCTACTGCAGCTTGGGCAAGCGGCTCACAGCCAAGTACTATGTGAACAAGTTTATTGAGTTTTATTTTATTTTCTAAGTAGTAGGAATCTCAGACTAATTTGAGATATGAGATAGCGAAGGACAACACTTATAATCCAACAAGAATATGGAAATTCTCCTAATTTGCAGTCTAACATTGTAATATTTCAATGTTTAGTAGTAAGTCATGAAACCTTTGTCACCAATTCTATGTAAATCCATGTCCATCCCAACTCTTAATTACAAGGTCCTTATTCCACTCTTACGTACGTTAAAGTAGCCGCTTATCATGCTTAATATGTAACGAAAGACAGAATCTAACAAATACAACTTTCGGAAGTGTCAAAAATCGCCCTACATTTCTGATGTACAGTATGATAAGAGGTTATCAGTATCTGTTAACTGAATGATCATACATAACCCGTGGCTGTACAGAGATTCCTCGACATTAAATGATAGATTGTTATCCAGTGAATAAAGCATTCAAGATCCATAAATGTACAGAACTCTATGACTGTGGTAAGCATAATCATTCACTACTTTTCAAAATATTCACCTGAAGCAGCCAAAGTTAAGATGACAGTGAGTAGTGTGTGAGGATAACTTTCTAAAGGCTTTCAAACAGACTTCAAACACACATCATACGATATGGAAGTAGATATTCATTCAGACTGTTCAGCATAGAAATATATAAATAAAGAGTTGGACCAACACTGTTTGTAACAAGCAAATAAATAGACAGATATCTTAGAGAAAATGTCAAGATGCTGTCACATATATCATTACAATCACAGCAGTATCATGACAGCTCACCTCAACTCAAGGCTAACGAACTGCAGTTTGGATTTCTCCTAGAAAAGAACAAGTACGTAACTTTAGGAAACATCCAGAGAAACCATCAATTTAGATATTTTGTAGGCTTGTATTCATTATCTCTTTATTTCAGAACGAAAACGTTAAAGAGATGACAGTCCCAAACCTCCACTGGATTCGATGAGCAACTTTTCCATTGAACCGACAATTGAGACGCTACGAAAAGCTCAGAACTAACAAGCAAACTGTTATAAACGGGTTTCCTATTTACATACTAACCCCGTGTACGATAAAAGCTGACTAGTATTGTATTCTTAGCTAATATTACTTCGGAATTCGCTGAACTGACAACTAAAGAAAGTGAGACAGATTATCAAATACCCTTTGCTACAGGAATTATTTTCACAGTCTTAGAGATAGAATTCACAAACAGCTAAGCCAGAATAAGTTTCTGTATTTTACCAAGCACTTCGCTAGGCAAGTTCAACATTTTTAACTTGAATATTATGATTTCTACACATATGTAGACTTTTGAACAACGTATAGTTATGTATGTGTAATAACATCATCAAATCTGGCAATATAACACCCAAAAAAGGATTGATTGAGCGTTATTAAAATAATTAATTAGTCACCCGATTCCACTCTATGAGAACGGCTGCAGTTAAAAGGAGCACAAATCCATAGTTATCAATACAAATCCATGTATAGATTTTACTTCTAGGAGTTGATACCCTATAATTAAACGTGGCATATATATGCAACAAGTTTTTAATGTGGGACTACGGTTTAGGGAAGATCTTAAGTGATATCATAATTGATCTCTTGCATCACTTAAATATGATCTAATCCGACTTAAGACGTTGAATTTAAACACATACTATGTAAAGAGGAAAGAAACGTCAAACAAAAAAACTAAGTATACCATGGCAAGTTTAAAAAACCCGCGTTTCCGGTATCTAGGATATTTGATGAAAATTTATTTCTATCGAATATATAGTTTAAGCCTAACCTGATCAGACGACTGTATATGCTATATAAGTTATTTGAGTGATGATAAGTTATTTTAATTTGACTCTACTGCAACATTATCGCGTGAAAGTAAGTTCTGCGTTATTATTATCTCCTCTGTACACTATAGCAGCTGTTTGGGTATTATTTGGTCCAGACACTCACTGCCCCCCCACAGCAAGTTAAGAAACGTCAGTCTCCGCTGATTATTTTTTTTCTGTGTAGCAGTAAATAAACCCCTCAAATAAATAGCCCTGTAAGTCTTCTGTATTGATGCTAATCTCATTAGTTTTACTGGACACACCCTAGCTGAAGGCTCTCGGTCACATATCTGCACCGGGTCACGAGTAGGTACGTCATTCCACGCATCCTTTGCAACCCCTAGTCGGATTAGATCAAATGCTTCTCGGCATATCGAAATCCTTCGGACTCCATCACTTACTAATTCCGATTTGACTATGCTGTTATCCTGCTATTATAAAGAAGTTACGTATGAACGCGTCGTCAAACTTTCAATATCTGAGATATCTCTAGATGTGACGTGTACTATTACATTCCTATCTAGATATATATTACTCTTCCAGACGTTATTCTTCTTTACCTTGCGTATCTTTACAATATCGTACTCTGCAACCAGCATCACCCGGCTATGTTCTGTCTAGTGCATCTTCAACTTGATCTTTTTGAAAAATGAAGTGGATTTATCACCAATAATCATCATCGGTGTTCTACACTTCTTTGTTTAAAATAGGCGAATTCTCTGATCATCAATGTCTGTGGTAGTAAAAACTTTAGAACTATTTGCATATAGTAAGGGAACCTAGGAGATGTTAACCTATCGTTCGTCAATGATCGGCTAAAAAATGATAAGCATCTATATTTTGTCCGACATGTGTGAAATAAAAGATACTGTAAGTTGTAGATTCCGTGCGATGTAGTCCTCTGGATACTTAAGTAAGCAACAACTGGTGCCCAAGTATTTGAATTTCAAGTGGAACGCTTCATAATTCACGTCATCCCACATTTTACGGGAAGCCAATAAATCTTATTCTCGTGTGTGGAATGTATTTCATTGACAATCCCCGTTTATTTCACTATATCAACAAGTTAATGTTCGAGGATCTATGGATAAGAGATCATTACTAAGGATCACTCAGGATACTGTTTCACCAAACATCTCAATAGCCCGTATAATTGCAGGGAGAAGAGAAATGGATATGCCGTTTCAGACTTTGGTATTGTTAATCACTTCGTATTTTCGTATAACACAAGAAACTAGTTCACCCTCTCAGTGAAAACCGTCTTGGATATTCTATGTAATGCCCACTTAGTTTGTTCTGGGGTACTGTAGGAGTATTAGGTGGTTGTAGGCGGTAGGTATGAAACTGTAACAGCTTAGGTTGATTGGTTAAAAGTTGACCTCAAACAACCAAGCACATGCCAAAACAATATAGTTCAAATATTTATTCACCTCCTTATTTTGTATAAGCGTTATATTTCCTATTATCTCATATTGAATGTTGAGAGGCTTTGTTTGTCTAGTTAAATAACCCCACGCTCCACTGTGACTGCGCGAAGATCGAAATAAAGACCTATTCACTACTTGTCTGGTTTCTTCTATCAATAGCACGAGGGTTACCTTAAGGCACGAAAAAACCATAATTGTAACAGGTTCTGTGTTAGTTGATGCGTGTCGACAAAGTGTAGCTGTAGTCTTGAGGGAACTAGAGTTCACCATGAGGCTCATACGCACATTATACAGTTTCACAGTTTGAGGCCTCATCACACAGTTACTCATGACGCTACTTAACCCCTAGGCTCTTCCTTTCACTTATTGTCAGGTGTACTTGTGTTCTTGTTGCCTGCCTCCTATTTGCAGCATCATATGTTTAATTATTTCTATTTTTCTTCTTTGAAGAATGAGAGCTAGGACTTGACTTGCGATGCAGTTTAGTGGTATACGTACAGTGTTTCCTGTTTCCTTCCAGCACATCTTACTGCTGAGCTCCTCAGTTGGCACCTGGCCTGTTCTCCATCACAGCAGGTTATTTTTGGAGGTCTCTGGTGATGAACTACGTCCAGCGTATTATCGAACAATTGTCCACAGAGTCGTGAATTAGTCAACAAATGAATGTCATCTTGTAGATCTTGACAATGGTAGTTTACACTGTTACTTCGGAAATGGTATAGCTTGGATTTCGGTAAAACATTAGATACTCGTTCTTCTCCGTAGTAAATTCCACAAAAACCGCATGAAATTATCTTAACACGTAAATACGTAGAATGATAGTCTACTTCAACATCAGTACTGCTCTACACAACTGCACAATCCAGAAAATACGGCCGCTACCAAACCGACAGCTTCGTGATATCACTGGAGAATAGTAATGGGTTAAACATTAAAAATATCCAATAAGTACTTTAAAAAAGTAAAAAGTGTCCTTTCAAGCTAGGAACAATATTTTAACCGAAGAATAGGCGGGAACATCACTATTTAACTAGTAACGGAGTGAGACGTTAACTGTACTAGAAAACAAATCTCCCAAAAATTAGGATAGCTTCTATCATGTAGTGGACTCGTAGGAGTGTAGTGCAGTGTCGAGTCGAAATTGACTATGAACACCACTACAAAGGAACGCGTGCCAGGATATCCATAAAATCCCTCGGAAGCCAAATGTCAGAAGGCAGTTAATAGACCAAGTCGAGATATATTTGCTGGAGACCTCGTGGTATCGATAGAATACCGAGATCGTGCCAGGACACAAGCTTGGTTACTGAGCGTAACCGGATTCGCGAGAGGTCACAATTGAAGTAAGTATAATGAATGTTTTTATCACAGTTAAACCAAGAGCACATTAAAACAGTCACTGGTACAATTGGTTATAATAATATTTGTTTTCATTAAACCAATCGCGTTCTCGTGATATAAGTAAGTCACTACAGGAGAACCTAATCAAGTATCATGATATGCAACGCAAATAATAATATATAAATTTAAATTCTAACTCCATTTGCTGAAATAGCCAGTAACAAAATGGTGGGAAAATAACACTTGAAACAAAGCTGAATATAATATGCAAAAATTGCAACATTAGTTATGTGATGAATACTACATCAAAGTCCCTTCTGGTACAACTACTGTAATCAGAGTTCACTCGATTATCAAATACTCTTTCTTCATGATTGACACCCATGGAGTGAAAAGGAATATAAATCTAGCCGAGGAAATGATAAATGATTCAGTCCACTGGTCTCAGGCATTGAGAAGTGGCCTCAAAGGACGTTACAACAAAATTATGCTCTTCAATCCTAATCTGTTACCAACAAAACTTAGAAAGGAATGATGTAAATAGTGCTTATTTGAACACCAACAATGAAACCCGTGTATTATTCACTTAATTATTGCTGTTTATTTATATTGACCTAAATATACCACAAGTACTTGGAGTTTGACTCTGTAGTGTGACGACGAGTCGCGGTTGACTATGATCACCACTACTAGAAGGTTACGTACCAGATATCAGAAAGCAATCGGAGATTGTAGCAAAGTATGTTTGCTGGTGATCTCGTGGTATCGAAAGAATACTGAGATCGTGCCAGAGGAGTACAAGCGGATTCACTGAACAAACGTAAGTTCGTGCAAGGTCACAATCAACGAAAAGAAGAATGGAAGAATAATGGATGTCTTTAGTACAGTTAAACGAATAAGTACAGTAAAACAATCACTGGTACAATTGGTTATAATAATAATTGTTTCCATTAAACCAATCGCGTCCCTCTGGACCTGAGGAAATTCCCCGATATTTCCCCAAAATTCCCCTTCAACCTCGTTGAAGGTCATTTGCCTCTGGAGATTTCCCCAAAAAGTCCCCAAACCTAAAAGATTGGGATTAGTCACAAACCTCGGCATCACTGAAGAAACAAAACCTTTGAAAAAGATCCATTTTCCTCCATTAATAACTCCTTCTGGAGTCCCTCCGAGGGCTACCGCTGGTTCCAAGCCCGGATAAAGGAGAAGGGTTGGGCATGGGGTTAGCGTCCCCATCCCATAGAAAACTAACTCGCTAAAAAAACGCTAACCAGAAAAAATTATTCAAACCTTTTAAACTCTACCCTGGGAGTCAGAAGGTCTTCATTTAGAAGAATTATGACGCCTCATGATGAAAGCCGAATTCCTTCGGAAGTTACGAGGCCGATGCCCCTTCTGACAACCAGAGCGACCATTTATTTAGGTACATGGAATGTTCGTACAATGTGGGACACCGGGAGAGCCTTCCAAATTGCTGCAGAAATGCGAAGATACAACCTAGAGGTACTTGGGATCAGTGAAACACATTGGACACAAGTTGGACAACAACGACTAACTACAGGAGAGCTCCTGTTATACTCCGGCCATGAAGAAGAAAATGCACCACATATACAAGGAGCTGCATTGATGCTGTCCAAACAAGTACAGAATGCACTTAAAGGATGGGAATCTCATGGACCAAGGATCATCAAAGCCTCCTTCAAAACAAAGAAAGAGGGCATTTCAATGAACATCATCCAATGCTATGCGCCTACCAACGACTACAATGAAGAAGCTAAAGATCAATTCTACAATAGGTTGCAGCCAATCATCGAGAAGTGCCCAACAAAGGACCTGACCATTCTGATGTGAGATTTAAATGCCAAGGTTGGAACGGACAACACTGGATATGAAGACACCATGGGACGACACGGACTGGGAGAAAGGAACGAATATGGTGAGAGATTTGCAAACCTATATGCCTTCAATAAACTGGTCATAGGCGGCACCATATTCCCATACAAACACATACACACAACCACGTAGACTTCGCCGAATCACACTACACAAAACCAAATCGACCATATCTGCATCAACAAAACGTTCAGGAGGACTATAGAGGACGTGAGAACCAAGAGAGGAGCTGATATAGCATCAGATCAT